TTGTCCTGGAGAGGAAATCCCACCACCTGTTGAACCCCACAACCCCAGCAAGATGCATGCACCTCCTGACTGCCCCAAGAGTGCTGAAGTACAGTAAAAACCAACACAGTAGCTTACGGCACTCAAGAGTGGCAAAAGAAGCAAGAATTTCCAGGCCCAAGCCAAAGGGAGCAGGGAGAGAAACTGGGGGAGAGGAGCTGCCCATCATGCAGTGGATGAACTAACAACTCTGCAGCTCTTGTCAGGGACCAGCCAGACCATGTGTCATCAGCCAGACTGAGACAGGCTGCCATTGCCATCATCCACTCAATTGTATGGACAAGATAATTTCCAGCTCCACCCTACCACTTTACTTGGTTTCCTCAATTTTAATTTCCTGCTCATTCAGTTAGTTTCAAATCAATTTTCACAAAAAATCTTGTTCATTCATTTTGCTGTTGAGAATGGTCTTTGCCCAAGCCTCCTCGCTTACTGCTGCACCTGGCACTGCACAGCACTGTGAGTGAAGAGATATGTGAAGGGAAAAGAAATTCTGCTGCCACGTTTGTGCAGTAGTACTCAGAGCTGGATCAAAAGTGCCCACCAGACTCTGGGCCAAAGATTAGGCAAACAAGACACCCAACAATCACATGTTAGCATCTGTGCCCATTCAAACTTTAGAGATTCTGTTTGTATAATTTGTAGTATTTGAGCATTTATTTGAGAAACACTGAAATTGGTTTGCTCCTAGTATCAAAAAACTGCCCTAGACTAATAAAAATAATTTCATCCCTGACAGTTTTCATACATAAAGAGATATCTTAAAAGATTAAGTCACATCAACAATAACTCATTCACATGCAAGAGAAAAGTGGGAAGTCTGAAGCAAGCCCTATTAAATCAACAGAAGGACTCCTGCTGATTTCAAGACAAAGCACAGATCAGTCCTTTCAGATCAGTAGATTAGTTCTCCTTAATGAGCCTTGACAGGCCCCCAGGCTCTTTAAATCACTATATATATAGCTTGCAATGCTTATACGACATAGGTGGGTGAGGGAGGCACAGAGCACAGCCAGAAGATTAATACCAAGTACATCCCCTAAAATAGACAGATCACAGTACAAGTCATTAGCAATAGCAGGAAGAGGGGCCCTGCTGATGTGCATCAATCAGGAAAGTACCAGACACAGATTATGAGATTATTTCTTTTTTAACTAACATGCATGTCTTGGTGCACAAGTTTGTTTCTATGTTCTGACACTGGAAATAACTGGTGAAGGCATCTCATGAGCACCTGGAGGTATAGGCTGAACTTACAGATGTCTCCCCAGAATGTGAGTAGAATTTGTGTCTATTATTATAGTGAGTAGTACCTATCATATGCATTCGCAGGATATCTAAGAGAGCTAAGCATTTGTTTTCTAGTGCACAGATAAGAGAACATGCATTCCCTTCCTTTCTAGAGTAATTTTAACAATTGTTGCTTATCTTAACACCTACAGGGTCTGAATAAAATTCTAACTAAGAAATGTTCCTCCCAACATGTGGAATCTTTCCCTACTTCAATTTTCAAATACTGGGTCAGTGACCTAAGATTTTAAATGGTTTGGTTTTCCTGGGGCTTTTATGATGCTGTGGTAAAAATATGAAGTGCAAGCCATACAAAGAAGATACAATCATGCCGAAAACACACTGTACTAGACTACACTCATCTCCCTACAAAATTATGTGTAAGAGAGTTTGGAGGTGTATTTCTTTTCAGATGACATATTAATAAAGATCTTAAATTATCCATTGACCACCAAACCAAATTATCACACTGATATATTTACACAGCATACAAAAACACACTCCTTTTCCACGAAACAGAAGTGCAAAGCTCTGCATGTGCAGGAATAGCTCACCTAAGACTAAGAGATCTAATGTTCCATGACTGCCTATTTGTTCAAATAATTAACTGAAAACGAGAAGTTTGTAGCTATGGAAGGGTGACTCTGGAGAGCTGTTAGATGATCTTTCAGTGCACTGCCTGATATGTCTAACCTTCCACTTAGTGTTATGTGAGTGCTCATTCTGAAGAACCACAGTGCCAAATTTTCCATTGGCAATTCTTCCTCAGGATGGCTGGCAGGTCACTCTGCCTACTGCAGAGCACTGACTTCTGGAGTTTCGCACAGTGGGGGGTGAAGGGCCCCAAAGCATACACAGGCCACAGATTTCACCCCAGCCTGAAATTCTTTGGTATAAGCAAACTTGCTGGGAGTAAATCATTAACACCCTCCTTTGATACGGGGTCTATGTGCTTCAGTTTCCTTTAGTGCAGAGAAGTAGAGGGATGCTGTACTTCACTCAGTCTTCTAGGGATGTTAGAGGGCTCTCAATGCAGTCATGCTGCTTTTCTCTAAAATCAATTGCTTTTATAATGACACACGTGTAGGCATGAGAAGCCAAGCTCTATCACACAAGTTCTCAATTTGCCAGGCAAATATCAAAGTTTGATGGAAAATAGAATTTGCCTTTAGCTATTTACTGGCTACATTATTAATCCAAATTCAATATTTATGAAGATACATCAATACTCTTGAAATATTGTGCTGATATTTTCTCTGGAAATGAACTGTTTGCCACTCCATGTAGCTGTTTTAAAATTGATATGATCTTGGAAGCCAGGTGGCTGTTTTTTGGCTGTTGTAGAACTTCACAATTATCAAACGAGATATTTTGGATAACACTGTACATTCACAGAATTAGAGCATTTTCTCAAAAGAAAACTTTAGCTGAGACTGTTTCTCTTGGTCCTGACCCCAGGCTCCTTCCAGCAATAATGACATTATCTAGCAGAATACATAGTGGCAGAAGGCTCCAGCAGAGCAAAACCTACCATGATGCTCAGGTCATTGTGTTACTGGAGAAGGAGCACTAGCACATGGCAAGAGCTAGGCAGTTAGAAATTACAGACTTAGTAACACTGGTCCAGGGCTGACAAGTAAAAGAAGAGCAATGGGGACTCTACAGTGCTCTCTCAGCTGTCTCCCCTAGAGCCTTTTGTCTTACTGTGCCAATAGAGCCCCTAGAGCTTCTGTGCCAATTGTTGCTATATAAACACACTGGCCAACACTGACCAGAGCAATCCCAGGTGTTTTACTTACAGAATCCAGGTTGGTGTCCTGGCCAGGACTTATCTGTAGAACCCAGTTTCAAATTTAACTTGCTTTCCAGAAGTGCAAGTTCACTGCCCACTGCCTCCTCCCTACAGCATAGCCAAGAAAGAAAGATGTGATTTACAGGTCCTGTTTTCAATTAGGTTAATTGTTTGCCTAAAACTCTAATTTAATTTTGTATTGGAAAAAGGGAAATTTGAGTCCTAAAGTTATGTATATATATCACTGCACTAGCTTGCTGGCATTTAGTGGCATGGTGTTACCAGAGCCTGCTTGATAGCAACTCCTCATGCTTTTTGTGCCTAGCTCTACTCCAAATTCTAAATGGGTAGTTAAGGGAAATGTCACTACCTGGTTCATCACTGCAAATGGACCGGAAGAATCTATGATCAGCTGCTGCAACATTCTCAGACTTTGTTTCACATCACAGAAACCTTCATTAGCCTGAGTGCTTTCACATAGTTGTAGTGACACTTCGTCAGAGCACTCTCTGAGTCCTCTCAGAAAATAAATGTCACCAACACAGAGCAAAATTACAAAGATGATTTCAAAGTGCACACATTCAGGAATGCTGCAATGCTTGTCAAATTTAACAGGGACATTCACAACAAGAAAGCCAAGTGTCTAAGCAAGGTACCTGAGCTAGAGAGCTGATTACATCAACCTCAAAACAGTGAGATGGGCCACTAAAACAAGTAGTGCAAACATCCCAAAAATTCAGTGAAAGCTCTCCTGTAAACTGCAGTGGAAGGAGAAGAAAACTCTTACATGTATATATTTGCTTAATGTTTTAAAATCAGAGACCATTAGTCAATAGCTCAGAAGTTCATATTAATGCCTACTGAGGCACTCAATTAAAGATCATTAAGTAGTAAAGAATGTTGTCACTTGTTATACTTTATTATCTTTGTAAGTGATTAATTATTTAATGAGAGTTCAACATTCATTCACTGTCAGATTCTGAGATTTCTTCACATCTACTTGGTGAGCTGACAGCAAAATTTAGGATCAGAATAAATGCAAATCAGTCCATGAACTCAGTAGGAGCAAGAACAACATCTGCCCTAGCAAACAGGCCTAATACATTGAGTTGCCTTTAATATTCATGTCTTGAGATAGAAATAATGTTACACAGAAATCAGCCTTTAAAAGTGTCAATTTTAAAGGTGAGGTGTCTACTTATCCACACATATGTAGGTACCTAGAACCTAGGTGACTGCTTAGAACTGCAAAAAAGTTTCTCTTAACAGGATGCCTGTAATATACTTATTGGATGTCCCATAAATATTTTCTTTAATGAATTAATTTGGTTTAGTTCCTGTAAAAACCAAAATAAAAATAGAAAACTAGTAATCAATTAACATGAGTTTAGATGCAAAAACTGTATTCTACATTTATCAAAAAATTTTGTAATAAGTAAACAGTATCCTCCCCAACAGAGTTAGGGAAAATTTGGGGAAACCTTGAGTTTCCTCTGTGCCTTTTTTTTTCCCCCCTTAAGGCAACATCTCCATGCATTTCCACATTTCTTTATACAAACACACTTCCTATATGGTATGTTCTCCTGTGCTGTGTATCACTGCTAAACAGGCAACAAGTGACAGAAGACTCAGGCACTGCCCCAAAGGCTACCTTGTCTGAAGGGCAGAGAGCAAATCACCCACTGTCATGCAACATAAGTCACATAAATTAGTCATCAGATCCACCACTGCAACTTACACCTCTCTTGCGTGGTTCTTGGGGTCACTCTGCTTCTGTGTTACAGATTAGAAAAGCAGCCTGGGTAGCATCATACAAGTGGTCAAAGAGAATCATCCTTTTTTCCCAGGGGAATTTCTCTCTCTGGTATCACCATAAACAATGACCAATGTCCACAAAAAAAGAACTTTCAGAACTGATAAGGTCAGTCCTTTCAGTCTGAAATGTCCTTAAAGGACAGCTGACTAGAAAGTCTAGTCAGCAAAGCTTGTAAACAGTGGAAAATCTATTGAAAAAAAAAAATACAGAAGGTTTTGTCAAGGTGCACATTATTCATGGCTTCTGATTGCATTGTGCTAAAGCTCCTGTTCCTGCTCTCCCCTAACATGCAGTGGTCCAGAAGTGCTGCAACTAGAAACAAAGCCATTTACAGGAGTTGTGTTTCAGGAGGGCTGGCAGAGCACATTTGCTTCATTGCACTTCTATATCATTAACTTATTAACTATTTACTATTAACTATTTGCTTGTAGCTCTCACTTTCAGACTTGCTGCACATAGCAATTTTGGCTTCCATACTTTCTCTTATCATTTACTGGATCATCAGAGACAAATACAGAGTGAGGAACCTGAATGGAAAGCATGTCTTCATAACAGGCTGTGACACTGGACTTGGAAACTCACTGGCTAAATGGCTTGACAAAAGGGGATTTTGTGTCATTGCTGCATGTGCTACAGAAAAAGGAAGCCAAGAGCTACTGTCCTGCTCTTCACTCTCACTGAAGACAGTGAATCTGAACTTAGCAGACTCCAACAGCATTGCAAGGGCTGTGGTGTTTGTGAATGAACAGACAGCTGGCAAGGGTAAGTGACAAGGCAGCTTCTCAGAAAAATGATTGAATATGGCCAAATCTGGTCTAGCTAAAAGTTCTATTGCCTCTCTACTCACTGCAGAGGCATTTTTCTCTTGCTGATGAAGCACATTCACTCCTTATTTCTCAGTTCAAATATATTCTCTGTAGCAATGCTGCCCATTGTTTTCACCAACAGGGTGCCTAAAAGTCTACTTGCTTGGTCTGCTAAAACCAGATCATTCCTAGGGGTGTTTTCCAAACTCTTTGTGGTGTAGTTGAAGAATGTCAGTGGAAGGAAGGTACTAACTGGTACCAGAAAATTTTCTTGACAAATTCAGCCCACTCAATTAAAAATGGTTCATTCAGGGCCTCTACAACCCTCCTCTAGTAAACAGAAGAGTATATTTTTGCATGCCTGGGTAAGTCTGACATTTGTATTGTACTAAACAATTGCACTGACTGCAACAGCTAAATACTTGCAATTTCAGCCAGTTTTCCTGGAGATGTTACATAGGTAGCTCTTACTACCCCTATCACACACCTCAGCACTCCAGTAAAAGGGGAAGAATTTACTCTTGGATACCTATGAGACTTCAGTGATGGGCTTGGCAAAGGGTGCTGAAAGATCTGCATGGTAAATATATTCAAATGTGGCAATACACATTTATCAGCACTCATAGCTCAGACTAAAGTCTACCCAAGGGCACCACAGCACTCTCACTACCAGTAGTAACACACAGTTATACCAGCTACTCAATAGGCTTATTAATAAATTAAGTACCTAAACCAGCAAAACATGTATCTTCTACCACAGGACTTTCTCCTCAAAGCTTGTAAAAGGCTTTTGGCCTTATTATCATGAATATTCTTGAATGCAGACACTGAGAGCAAGTTTAACAACATTTTTAGCACTTACCCCCTCTAGCAGGCTCTTGCTCCCAACTTGTAGAAAGCCACACATTCTCAGCCAGGATAGCCACTGCAAATGCTTTCACCTCAGGGTGTGAGGCTCTTTATGGAGGCTGAGTGCTGGACTTTCGGCCTCTCCCCTCAGGCACAGGCTGTCCTCAGCAAACTTGGAAACGTCACTATTTATCTAAAGTTCCTCCAGTAATTTATAAAGGTAGTAAAGCAGTATTATCAATACACAGGGCTAAGCTAGTATCTTCAGAAGCATTGACTAATTCTGCACATTTGGTTCAGGCCTTTAGACCCCAACCAGAAAAATCAGTCTCTCCACTTCTATGTAGACTATTTGATTTTCCCAAGAATACAAGTGTATTAGGAGACTGCAAACTTGAGTGGATCTGGATAATAAAACCCAGCATGGTGGCTCACATCTCCAAATAAACTAGTTTTCCTTTAACAGTTTACCCATGTTCTTCAGCAAATTTTATGAGGTGAACAAAGTAACTCATCCAAGCAAACCCCAGATAACTGTATTCATCTCACTGATGTCTTTGCAGACTGTGTGCTTGGTTCCCAATGCACACATGATACTCCAGGGCAAGATATTGCCCTGAAATAAACAGTTGTGCATTCCTCCTAGGGCTTTTTGGCTTGGTGAGCTATGCTGAAGGAACAGCACCTGCTGGACCCACCGACTGGCTGAGGATTGAAGATTTCCATTCAGTCCTGAATGTTAGTCTGCTGGGATTGATTGAAATCACACTCAAGCTTCTGCCACTTCTGAAAAAAGCTGAGGGAAGAGTTGTCAATCTCATTAATGCCAAAGGCTTCGTGGCTTTAGTAGGGGGTGGCTACAGTCTGTCCAGATGGGGCATGGAAGCTTTCTCTGACACCTTACGGTGAGTAGCCAGACACACATGCAAGAATCCAAGAACAGATTCCAGATGTGCTGAGGAAGGGTGACTGTATATTTGCCCATTTTGATTCCTCTCTGGAAACCTTGCCTAAAGGGGAAAAGGAAAATAAGAGGACTGGTCACTTTTTTAAGATTTCAGTCTCCAGTACTATGGACAAACCCAGCAAGGAACTGCACTTTTAAAATTTTCATATCCTAGACAAGTTGTTAGTGTGCAGATTTCAGGCACACTGTGAATCCAGTGCATACATTAAAGTAAATCAACAATTTAGCCTGGTCAGACATCCAGTTTCTTGGGCAAGTTATAATTGCCTGTATATTTTGCTCTAATTCTTCACAACAATCTGAGCTGGACAACTCAGACAGCAACCATGCTACCAAAAGTAATTGTAATTTCAGAAAATTGAGCTGAGCACCCTCTGCTGAAACAAGTTGTACTGTAGTACTTCTAGAAAGCTAAGGCCTGGCCTTAGTCAAGTCTTCATGAGCCAGAATGACTAGGAAAGCTGGTTTCAAACCATTATGAGTACTTACTTAAAGAAAGCATATACCCCAAAGAAGTAGAAACTAATGGCTAATGTACATGTGGTCCATTCCTTTACACACTGTATAACATGGCTGCCTGGGTCTCTTGAGCTGCCCATTTTTTTATTGCATTTTTACCCCAAAGCAGTAGCACTACAACTCAAAATTACATAGAGGAAACCACACTACGAGGAAACCCACTAACCTTTATTGCATTAACATTTAATCATTTAACCACAGCCATTTAACCATGGGATAGCGAATAAAATTCTAATCCAATTGAAATTTTTTTTCACTTTTAGTTTTTCTCAGACACTTTAATAATCTGCTGTTGCTGTGAACTAAAATGATTCAACAGTATATGAAATTGTCAAAAGTTTCAGTATGATAATACATGGCTAAGATACACTTGGCTGTTACAACCTTTGCGTGAGTCCAACATAAACCACGCAGAGTTATGAATCTACTTGACACTGCTTTCTTTTCCCTCAGTTGTCTGCTCTGCTTTTACAGGACAACTACACTGCTATCTATGAAGCTAATTTGAACATTTCAAAATAATTCTGATATATGAAGATAAGAATCAAAGACACAAATATTCATGTGACAGATTTTCAACTCACTTATGATTCATAGCTGTGCTATTATTGGGTGGTCAGGGAGATGATTGTGTTTTGGTTTTTTTTCTTCTAGGATAGAAATGCAGCATTTTGGAGTGAAAGTAAGCATTGTTGAGCATGGTTTCTTTAAGGCAGAAGAAGTTAATTCAGATATTATTGAGAAATACCTCTTCAAACTTTGGAACAGACTGACTCCTGAGATCAGGGACTCCTACGGAGAAAAATACTTAGTTGAATGTAAGTAGAAAAAATACTGTATGAAATGTCAGGGGGGATATTATCAACATATATAAATATCTGAACTGAGGCTGTAAAGACAACAGATCCAAGCCCTTTTTAGTGTTGTCCAGGGATAGGATTCAAGGCAATGGGCACAGGCTGAAACACAGGATGTTTCCTGCTGAACATCTCAGTGTGAGGGTGACTGAGGACTAGCACAGGTTGCCCAGGGCAGTTGTGGAGTCCCCATCTTTGGAGATATTCAAAACCATCTGGACATGTCCTGGGCAACCTGGTCTAGGTGACCCAGTTTCAGTAGTGGGGCTTGGTGCCAGGGGTCCCTTTCAACCTCAACCTATCTGTGATTCTGTGAACATTTACTAGATATTTTTAATGCTCATTAAGGACCCATTACTGACTGTTCTTCACTGTGTGTATGTTAGATGAGGCCTGAGATACTAGTTCATACATGAGACTGGCGGGATATGAGGTCATACTACCTTTCTTAGTCCCTCAATACTTAAAAGCAGGATGCCCAGTGGGAATGAGCTGCTATGACCATATGTGTTTATTGCTTAGTGGTATCTGAAAAGTTAGAGCAGTGTGAAACAGGACATACTGTATGGAACATCTGCCTTCACAGTATGGGCTAGGAAGGTTTTGGCTTATTGGACTTCTGGGTGTTTTGCAGCCTTTATTGTCTCTGCTTTGCTGTAGCTATACTGCTCTCAGCACTCAAGACAGTAGTTTAAAGCAAGCTTGAAGCTGTAGCCAAACCTTTGGCTATAAAGAACACTCTCGCAGAGATGCTGCATATAAATGCTTTCAGGTTTATTTTTTTGTTTACAGATATAAAAGCCCAAAGATCATCAGTGAAAAGACTGTGTGACTATGATATTTCTAATGTCATAAAATGCATGGAACATGCCCTGATAGCAAGGTACCCCAGGACACGATACAGAGCTGGATGGGATGCAAAGTTCTTCTGGCTGTTTCTCTCCTATGCCCCAAGCTGTTTGTCAGACATGTTGTTGCGTATTACATTTCCAGCCCCAGCAGTGAGCGGGAGACCAGTTCATGGAGTGCTAATTAATGTCTAGTATTAAAACAGTGTCAGCTGTGCAGAAATAAATATTTATCCTATTAAAACTAGATGTCCTCTTCTTTACCAGTTACTAGACTGTTAAAATTCTTTTCAGAAGACACTTTCTCCATCCCTCATCCCATCTTACCTGAAATTCTGGGTTCACAGGTAGGCTTGAATCCAGCCATGTTTTTGAAGGCTGTTGCTCAGAAATTATATCTCTATAGGATCTGCATTCATAAAATTTTCAGCTACAAAGCTAGTTAATACTATTCACTCAAGACATGAAGTCAAATAATAACAAAGTCCAGCTAGTGCAGAATATTCCAGAAATTACAATTATAGTATCTGACCACTTGATTATTCAGTTCTGCAGAAAAAAAACACAAGCAATTTTACAGAAATGCAATTCTAGGGAAAATCAAAACTCTACTGCTCTATGCAAGCAGATTGAAATGCATATTTTAACTTTCTTCCTAATATTAGTATGGTTTATGGGGAAAATACAAAACCAATATGTGTTCATATTTCTTTTATCCTCAGTGTGTTTTGCAAGTTTAAAGTATTATTATTTTACTTATCAAAAGAAGTCATCAGTGTAGGCTATAGCAAATTCTTTCAGTTGTACAGAATGTGTTCAAAATGACAGAACATTAATAGAGGCTACTGTGCCTTTTATACACTATTTCTATCTCTTAAGCTGTTGGCCAGAGGCTCACAAATTGGTGCTCCTAGAGATATTAAAATTGAAGGGGTAAAGGTTTTATTTGCTAAAGTCCTGTGCTGGTGATTAATCATTAATGTGCAATTCAATTAAGCTTAAAAAAATACCATGTGCAGGTCAGAACTCCAAACATAAGAAAAGGAGTTTCATCACTGTGTGAGAGGGCATGTGTGTGTATTTGCAATATGCAAAAAAAGGACAGTATGTAAAAAGTGTTAGTAACCTTTAAGTATCTCATTGAAGTTCTATTCTCTAACAAATGGCTTAAAGAATAAATTTATTTTACTTAATTTCACAATAAATACCTGCAGACAGAGAAATCTTTCTATCTGGCCTAGCAGCTTTAAAAAGAATGCACATAAAAAAATAATGGTATAATTTGTCAGCCCTAGAGTTGCAGATTACAGACAGTTGTAATCTCTAAAAATCAGCTTTCTTTGAAACAGAGTCCAAAATTTAAGAATTCAAGCAGGGACTGTTCTGGTAAAAGAAAAAGAATACAAGTGAAAGATGAAGTTATGAGTATAATCTAAAACTTTTGTTGCACAAAGTACCAAACCTTCAATTTTACAAATCAGAAGGGTACACTGATGAAGGATACATAATTAGAAGGGTACTCAGTAGCTATGCTACTGAGAGGACGAGTCCCAGTTGAAGCTTAGGAATCCTTCAGCATAGATACACTAAACAACCAAACCTACATACTATATATAACTACAGAGTAACCCAGGGACTGTTTTCTTCCATATCTGAAAAGTTAAAATTATTGCAGGGGAAAAAAATGTATTTCTGATATATGGCTGACATATTAGCAGTTTTCACCAACATTAGTTTTAAATCTTTGAGTTGACAAAGACTATTTTCAAAATTGACACTACTTTTTCCTGTGGTATGCAACTGCAGGCAAGTCTTTTGGAAGGGTCAGCCCTGCCTTCTCCCTTTAAAAAACCTTGTGAATCCTTTCCTTAAGAACAGTGCCTTGCATCTCCAAGAAATTCTCACAGATGTGTCTGCTGTGTTGCAGACTCTAAAGAATTTTCTACATTAATGCACTCAGAAAAAAAGCTTTTAAAAACACATAATGTGCTTAAAGAAAAAAGTAGTATCATATTCTGACATCAAATATGAAAGTTAATTGAAATAAGGTTTTAATCACTTATGTCCATACTATCTTGATTATCAGTCTCTCAATAGTAAGTTTCCTGTTTCAAGGGCCAGTTTATTGAATATGTGTAATAGGGCAGCTTTCACACTTACAGAGATACAATGTCAGCATCTAGACAACATCTTACATGAAGAACTTTAGACAGTTGTGAGAAGCAGTAAGCACTATTCTTATTCAGCTTTATCTAAAGCATTAATGCTTTCACCCCGAAGAGCACTGAAGTCTCCACAACTGAAAAAAGTACATAAAGCTTCAACACAAATTATGAAATAAGAATGTGATAAAATAATGTTTATTAGACTTATTCAGCAGCATCATTTTACAGTTGTCTTTTCTAATCAAAGTATGTTACAATTTAATTACAAGCATTCTAACCAGAAATAGTATATATATATTGAAAATTTAGAGATAAAACAATCAAATAGCAAAAGTCTCAACAATTGTGACTTCAGGAATCTTTTATATGAGTAGGAACTAGCTAGGAATGCTGAAGAACATGGTCCTGTAATTGGAATTTTCTCAAATGGTTCATGCTGTGGAAACTATCTTGGCTATTAATAGAAGAGCTAAAAAGATCAACAGTATATTCTGATGGAAGGTTATAGGAACAACCAGTTAACAACAAAGACTGCATTAGTAGAAATTGTTTCCCTTTCTATTAATATCCACCTCAGAAAATAAATAGTCAATAAAATTAAATTTTCACATTAAAAAAAACCTGAAGGATTTCTGAAATGAGCCATTATCTTTCATATTTTGCTGTTCGGAAATAAGCTGTTATAGAAACCTAGCTACTTCACAGTACAAATTAGTTTCAGAGACTCCAGCCAAGAACAGAGGTATTCCATTGATGAGCAAGAGAAAAGCTCATTAAGGAGTTGTGGCACTAAAATCTAAATATATCCAGTCTTCCAAGGAACACTATTAATGGAATTGAGTTAATTGGGACCTAGATGAAAAGTGTGTGTTTTATAGACCAAGAGAAAAATTTCTCAGGCAATTAAAATACTGTAAGTACAGCATTTTGAACAGGTAACTATTCAGCATAATAATGATGCATTGACTCATCTTTTGTTTGACACAAGAGAAAGGGATACCCATTTTTATATACAGTACTATATAAAATAGGTGGCAAAGATGCCCTGAGCACCAGTAGAAGTTTTAAAAGGTGCTGTTATAAAAGATACACCCTAAAGACACTGTAAATCAGTAATGTTCCTACGGCCTTGCCTTGTTTGGTTCTTTTTTTTTTTTTTAGTTTTAAGCATTTATATAATTAATTTAGCCCTAAATATATGATCAATTCTATACAAATTTCTACTAGCAACATCACTGAACAAGATAATCTTAAAAAAATTTACAAATGTACAATATATTTATAACATTACTTTCAGACATCTTCAGTGCAAAGATATACATATAGTACATCACAATAATTGTTCAAAAAAATAGAAATTGGCATTTGTCAAAAAAACAAGGCATAGTTTCAACATACATCTCCAGCCACTGGCCAAGAGATGTATATATTTTTATCAAGCATTTGAATGTGAACCTTACTCTTCTGTTTATAAAAAATATATGTGCAAATGAATGTGTCTAATTTTCCCTAAATGAGTTACCTAGTTATACCACAGAGTCCTCTTTAACAAGATTGGCGGTGTCTTTAAATGTATCCTCTGTTGCTGTGTAAGATAGTGGTTGGTCTCTCTTCAGAATAATCTTGGGAGGCAGTGAAGGAGAATGGGTAGGGACATTTTCTGTGTCCTGTTGCTGCTCCTTTTCCATCTGAAACAATAATCATAAAATCAAATCTTACATTCTAATGCACCATACATCCAACATTAACTTTCAGAAACAGTAAATAATTATTCCTAAAGTCAAACTTCATGGTGTAAATTATTTCTGCAAAACACCACCTGTAAAAAAATGAAATACTCATTTCACCTCAGTACATCTGGGTAAAAACAATACTATTCTTATTCTATTCACTGGAACTTCTACTTTAATTTTTAATGTCAGGAGCTGCTGTGCTGCCTGAGCTGAGTCTGCTCAACACCTCATTGTTGTTGTGCATGATATTTGCTAACCTCTTACAACCACTTCAGTCCTTAACCTGGACTGGAATTTCTGTGCTGTTCCACATAGCAGCAGAACCTACTTATAATCTTTATCCTATGAAAGCAAGAAAAAAGTCCAGCAGTACATTAGCTGAAAAACAGAATTATACAATAGAAACAATACCTCCGCATATATTGGGTTTTCAAAATTAGTGTTTTGTTTCTTTTTTCTCTTGAAGAAACTCCACTTTGATTCCTGAAATATAAAAATTATTAGAACTTCATACATTTTTCTCAAAACTTCTCTGGAAACTTGCATTACATTGTTGGATTTCACTTGAATTGACTGCTACCTCAGTAACTTCAGATGGATGTTCTTACATCAATATGTTGTAATTCTAAGCATGGAACACAAATTTATTTTTCTGCTAGATGACCAAGTTATTTCACCTGAAGAAGTATTCACAAAATGTTGCTAGGCAACAAAAATTACTAAATTACTCCATGGAAGCCTATCATTCCAGACAAATAAATCAAAGAGGAAAAAACTGTCTTGAAAACAACACAAAGGAAATTACTGAGGGACATGGAACCACTAAGTTGATCACAGCTTCCCTAACAATTCCATTTTTCTAATCTGGAGCACAAAACAAACAAGGTAGCCTTAGACCATTTTTATTTCCTACCAGAGGTGCATCTGTACTCTGAGGGGTTTCCTTTGGGCTAGTAGATATCACAGAGGAATACACAGGATTTTCAAAATTTTCATTTTCCTCACTACCAGCTGCTGCTACCTGTAGGAGAAGAAAGAGAATCAACATTCTTCAAAGATGAAAAGGTGGTCATAAGGGAAAACGAAAGGTGAAAGTCAAGCCAAAATTTATCTTACAAGTGTTGGTCGAGTAACTGTAACTGCACCAGCTGTGCTGGCTCCAGCATCTCTGGTTGTATACATTGGATTTTCAAACGTGATTGGTTGTTTCCCCGACTCCACTGCAAAGTTTTCATTCTAGGGAGGAAAAAACCCAACAACTGCAGTGGAATAAACACCTCCATACTCCTAGGAATTA